ATCACTTGAGCTCAGGAGTTCAGAACCAGCCTGGGTAATGTAGTGAGAGCTCCTCTCTACAAAAAACACAGAAATTAGGTGGGCGTGGTGGCAAGTGCCCGTCGTCACACCTACTGTGCAGGCTGAGGTAAGAGAATCCCTTGAGCTGGAAAGATTGAGGTCTCAGTGCGCTATGCGCATGCCACGGCACCCTAGCCTGGGCAAAAGAAACAACTACTAGAGAAAAGAAAAATAAATTCATGCAAAAACATTTTTCCCCCCAGAAAATAGAGCAGACTGACTTAAATATATTTTTATTTGTCCTGTTTTGCTTTTTAGGCTGAAAAAATGGTATAGGCCTTTCTCACATTAAAACATTTATGTTGGCTCAAGCCTGTAATCCCAGCACTTTGGGAGGCCGAGGCGGGTGGATCATGAGGTCAACAGATCGAGACCATCCTGGTCAACATGGTGAAACCCCGTCTCTACTAAAAAAAAAAAAATACAAAAAATTAACTGGGCACGGTGGTGCGTGCCTGTAATCCCAGCTACTCAGGAGGCTGAGGCAGGAGAATTGCCTGAACCCAGGGGGCAGAGGTTGCGGTGAGCCGAGATTGTGCCATTGCACTCCAGCCTGGGTAACAAGAGCGAAACTCTGTCTCAAAAAAAAAACCAAACATTTATGTCTTCTGAGAATTTTGTGGGTTTTGCTCCAAATTTTTCTGTTTCTTAAATTACATAATAAATATTAGCTTATTAGGTGGGGGGAGGGGACAGGGACAGAAAAGTATACAACAGGTAATAGAAAGCTGGATACACTTTTACTTTTTTTTTTATTGAGATGGAGTTTCACTCTTGTTGCCCCAGTTGGACTGCAGTGGCATGATCTTGGCTTACTGCAACCTCCACCTCCCAGGTTCAAGTGATTCTCCTGCCTCAGCCTCCTGCAGAGCTGAGACTACAGGTGTGCACTATCACACCCAGCTAATTTTTGTATTTTTAGTAGAGACAGGGTTTCTCCATGTTGGCCAGGTTGGTCTTGAGCTCTTGACCTTCTGATCTGCCAGCCTCAGCCTCCCCAGGTGCTGGGACTGCAGGCATGAGCCACTGGGCCCGACCTTTTTTTTTGAGACAGATTTTTTCTCTGTTGCCCAGCCTGCAGTGCAATGGCAAGATGTTGGCTCACTGCAACCTCTGCCTCCCATGCTCAAGCATTCTCGTGCCTCAGCCTCCCAAGTAGCTGGGATCACCAGCATGTCCCACCACTCCAGACTAATTTTTGTGTTTTTAGTAGAAATGGGGTTTCATCAAGTTAGCTGCCCTGGTCTTGAACTCCCGGCCTCAAGTGAGCCACATGCCTTGTCCTCCCAAAGTGCTGGGATTACACGTGTGAGCCACCACAGCTGGTTCTGCTTGATACACTTTAAGCCATATTCACCTGCAGTTGATATTATAGGATCAGTGAGATTTATGATATTATTAGGTGAAGAGTTTTTAGTGGCAAGCACATTCGCTCCCATAACATTAAGATCTTTTATTCTTTTCTTATGAAAAGTTCAGTTGGAAAATTCAAAATAAAAAAAACTTGCTCATTGTAAACAGAAGTTATTTCACAGGAAGAAATTCTACCTTACTTTTTTTCTTATTTTAATACCACATTTTTCTATACTTTAATCCTGAGACCTCTGCCTGTTTATTAACTGCTTTTAATTCCATTGTCTGGATATGCTCATGTGAGTTTGGCAGCTGTTCCTATGGAGTAACTGAGTGAAGAGTCACCGTGCGAAGAGTGATATTACTATCCCCTCTGCACCCCGCCCCACCCCGCGACAGTCCCTCTTCCCGGTCCGCCCCTCCACGGAGGACATCCGCTTCCTCAGTTCTTGACGTCCAACATTCCGAATGCAGTGAAAGCACTGGGTTATTTTGAGAGATATTTTTAATGGTCCCTTGCAATTTGTTTAAAGGAAAAGATGCCTCAATAAGGTGAAGGATGTGGCTTAAATCATACAAGATGTCAGATCCGGCACCTGTTTTCTGTGGGAGTCAGGCAGGGTAGGGACCTCACTCCGGCTTGGCAGACATGGTAGTGTGGTATTTTGCTTTTTACCCTTGGATAGCACAGTGAAAGAAGATACACTCAGGACATACCAGCTTCCTCGAGGGCAGCTGTGGAGGAGGAAGTCTTGACTTCCTTTGGAATCACAGTCCAGGATCCTGGATATTCTTATTTCCAAGTCTAGTTTGAGATTGAACAAATCTCAGCTCTCTTTCCCAGGACATTCATTCAAACACATATCATAACTGGGTTTTGTGTTGTTTTGTTTTTTTTCCCTCACGCTTTCTTCCCCTCAATGGAAAACCCCTGCATCATCCGTTTCCTGCCAAGTGCTCTGCAAAGATTACAAGCAGGAAATTTAAAATGAGAATGATCGTTTGAGCTACGGTGATCAGGGAACTATGATAACAAGAGCATGTGGGACCTGTACAGCAGAGCCATTATAAAGTTTATCGGTCTTTTAAAACTCAGTTCACAGGATATGGGGTACTGTGAATTTTTTTTTTTTTTTGAGACGGAGTTTAGCTCTTGTTACCCAGGTTGGAGTGCAATGGCGCGATCTCGGCTCACCGCAACCTCTGCCTCCTGGGTTCAGGCAATTCTCCTGCCTCAGTCTGCTGAGTAGCTGGGATTACAGGCACGCGCCACCGTGCCCAGCTAATTTTTTATATTTTTAGTAGAGACGGGGGTTTCACCATGTTGACCAGGATGGTCTTGATCTCTTGACCTCGTGATCCACCCGCCTCGGCCTCCCAAAGTGCTGAGATTAGAGGCGTGAGCCACCGCCCCTGGCCTTATCGGTCTTTTATAATTCACTCTTGCTCATGGGCAGGTCAACTTATAGACAGCTGAGAATTTGCATGGAAAGAGTTTCATCTCCAACAGTGAACGTACATGGCACATAGTCCTGAGTTTGTGTATATCTTAAGATATTGTGAACTATTATTATTGGTACATTCATGAGTTTTGTACTTTACTTATGTACTCCCAGGGAGCAAGGAATCTTTTCTGTGCAACGTGCCAGATTGCTTTAATTGTACAGCCTCATAAAATATAAACTTGTTGTTATTATGAATACACTGTTGTCATTATGATTATTGCTGAACCATGCAGCTATTTATCCTTGCTCCTCTCTATGCTTTCTCTAAATTGACAGACCTTTGTAACTGGATTCTAGACTGGCCCCTGAGATGCAGCTTTTGCATTTAAAGAGTGGGAGATTGAGTTCATTTTAGAATTTTAGAGCTGAATTTCAGAGGTCCTGGTATTCAGGCAGCCCACTTTATAAATAGGAAAACAGCCTCAGAGAGTTCAGTGATGTCCTCCAAGGTCAAACAGTTAGTTAGGGGTAGAACAAGGACATCATCTGATTATCAGACCTATGATCTTTTAAAAAATCTCTGGTATCTTGCCAAGGAGTAGACAAGTAAAATTCTTGTTTTGTTTTGTTTTTTTGAGATGGTTTCACTCTGTCACCCAGGCTGGAGTGCAATGGCACCATCTTGGTAAGTTTTTAAAAACGTTTTTTTCTTTTTTAATAGAGACAGGGTCTCAGTATGTTGCCTAGGCTCGTTTTGAACTCCTGGGCTCAAGCAATCCTCCTGCCTCAGCTTCTCAAAGTGCTGAGATTACAGGCATGAGTCATTAAGTCTGACCAACTCACATAGTTTTGATATTTTTCTTTTCCTTTTTTTTTGAGATGGAGTTTCGCTGTTGTTACCCAGACTGGAGTGCAATGGCACGATCTCGGCTCACCGCAACCTCTGCCTTCTGGGTTCAAGCAATTCTCCTGCCTCAGCCTCCCGAGTAGCTGGGACTACAGGCGCGCACCACCATGCCCAGCTAATTTTTGTATTTTTAGTAGAGGCGGGGTTTCACCTCATTGACCAGGATGGTCTCGATCTCTTAACCTCGTGATCCACCAGCCTCGGCCTCCCAAAGTGCTGGGATTATAGGCGTCAGCCACCGCACCTGGCTGACATTTTTCTTTTTGTCTATACTCACATTCTCTCTCTTTTTGTCTATACTCACATTCTCTCTCTTTTTGATAGAGGGTCTCACTCTGTGGCCCAGGCTGGAGTGTAGCGGTGCGATGAACTCGTGGGCTCAAGCGATTCGCAGGCCTGGCCCTCCCAAAGTGCTAGGATTACAGGCGTGAGCCACACCGCACCCGGCCAGTGTCTACGCTCTTAACCCTATTTCTCCTCTCTTTGCCACCTCTTTTCTCAGCTTATTATACAATAAACAATTCACAAAACTCTGAGTTGGAGGCATTCTGCTATGACCACTGAAGAAGCGGTAGTTTCTCATTCACTGTTACGTCACTCTGTCCTTTTCCCTTCTCCCACAACTCAGTTTTCCAAAAACCAAGACCTGTTTCCAAGGTTTGAAGTGCTGGGCGCGGTGCCTCACGCCTGCAATCCCAGCACTTTGGGAAACTGAGGCGGGGGGTCGCTTGAGACCAGGAGTTCGAGACCAGCCTGGGCAGCTCAACCCATTCTCTGCCAAACAAACAGACAAACAAAAACCATTAAAACAAAAATTAGCTGGGTGCGCTGGTGTCAGTCGGTGAAGGTAGGCTGAGGTGGGAGGATCGTTTCAGCCCGGGAGGTCGGGATGGCAGTGAGCCGAGATCGCGCTACCGCTCTCCAGCCTGAGTGATACAGAGAAACCTTATCTCAAGAAAAAAAAAAAAAGGCCGAGCGCCGTGGCTCATGCCTGTTATCCCAGCACTCTGGGAGGCCGAGTTGGGCGGATCACCTGAGGTCGGGAGTTCAAGACCAGCCTGACCAACATGGTGAAACCCCGTCTTTAAAAGAAAAAAGAAGAAGCTTAGAATAAGTATTAGCTTTATGCAAATAAGGAAGCTTAACAGAGTTCCTCTGAAGAATTCAGTAGGACGGAAGCTGTGGGACCGGAGGCGGGCCCGGCGTGGTGGGCGGGATTAAGAGGCGGGGCCTACAAGGCCGCCCGACTCGCGCTAAGATTTGGCGCCAAATGCCGCGGGCTCTTCTCGCCCCCGGAATTCCCGAGTCTCGCGAGAAGCCTGCTTAGTCTGCACGCCTGGGTCCGCGCTGTGGCGCCTGTTTTCGGCGTGTGGTGAGAGCTCGCTGGCAGGTTAGTGAAGTTTTTGCGGGGAGAGGGGAGTCAGCTGGACGAGCCAGGGAGCCAGACGGACGAGAGGGAAAGCCTAGTTGTCTCAGTAAAGGGGTCAGGAGGCTGCGGGATCGACCTGACTAGGCCTGGAGAGGCGCGGACGCGGGCGCTTGTCGCGGTTGCTGAGGTTTTGGGCTGCCTGTTACTCTGCCAAGCCCCTTAGCGGGAGGGAACGTGTTCCTTATCGTCTTTCTCCCGGCTTCTGTACGGGGCGTGTAAATGTAGAAAGCCCCCAGCGAATGTTGGATGAATGAATGAGGTTGAAGAGAGGATAGGCGGGGAGCGAGGATGAGGGGACGCTGGAGAAAGAGGTATGGGAGGTCCGATGTTTCCAAGGTGGAACCCAAGGGGGACATCGAGGCAGCACGGTAGGACTTCCCTTGCGATGAGGGGCGTCTCTTTCGACTTCTTGGAAAGAGGTGGACATTGGAAACCAGGGTCTGGAGACAAACCGTGGTTTGCACCGTTTATTTGTTACCTTCACTCCTCTGGGAGTTTGAGGAGTAGAGGAGGAAGTCGGGGCAATTTCATCAGTGTCTAAAAAGAGACAGTTGTGCGACCATTGACGGGAGTAAAAGTCGTGTATTGAGCATCTTGTTCACTACAAATAGAAGAAATGCCAATTTCCTGATAAGCCCCACCCCATGCTTGGCCAGTTCCTGGGTACACTTGATAAAGTTTGGGCACTGCCATCAAACTCAAAGCTCGCTGTCAGCCTCAAAGGTCTGAACCCCACTGTAGATTCCTCTAGCTTACTTGAAGCTACACTGGGTCGTGATCAGGAATTGATGCTTTGCTTTTTTCTTTTTTTGTGAGACGGAGTCTTGCTCTGTTGCCCAGGCTGGAGTACAGTGGCGGGATCTTGGCTCACTGCAACCTCCACCTCCTGGGTTCAAACGATTCTCCTGTCTCAGCCTCCTGAGGAGCTGGGACTACAGGGGCATGCCACCACATCCGGCTATTTTTTTAAAATTTTTTATTTATTTATTTTATTTTTATTTTTATTTTTTGAGACGGAGTTTCGCTCTTGTTACCCAGGCTGGAGTGCAATGGCGCGATCTCGGCTCACCGCAACCTCCGCCTCCCGGGTTCAGGCAATTCTCCTGCCTCAGCCTCCTGAGTAACTGGGATTACAGGCACGCGCCACCATGCCCAGCTAATTTTTTGTATTTTTAGTAGAGACGGGGTTTCACCATGTTGAACAGGATGGTCTCGATCTCTTGACTTCGTGATCCACCTGCCTCGGCCTCCCAAAGTGCTGGGATTACAGGCTTGAGCCACCGCACCCGGCCTAATTTTTTATTTTTAGTAGAGACGGGGTTTCACTATGTTGGCCAGGCTGGTCTCGAATTCCTGAACTGAATCTGCCCGCCTTGGCTCTCAAAGTTCTGGGATTACAGGTATGAGCCGCTGCACCCAGCGGATGCTTTGCTTTTATATTTATGATCATTGAAATTTAGAATTGGTGAGATTTTTAGAGAGCATCTGACTCCATTTCCGGGGAAGCTTTGGAATTGCTTTTTTTGCATTCCTTCATTTCATCAAATGTATATTGAGCACCTGTTGTGTACCAGCACTGGGGTTCCAGCTGTGGAACACAGACCTACACGTTTTGAACTACAGTCTGGTTTGGGAGATGAACAATAAATAACCATATAAATAAAACCTGATACTGAAACTGAATAAGTGCCACGACACTTGTACTTGACATTATGAATGCTTACTAAAGGAGAATTTAGAGAAACTGAGGTAAACGTCTGAAAAGGTGATAGTTGAGATCTGAAAGAGATGAGGAGTCAAAGAAGAGCTTTCAAGACAGGAAATAGTATTCGTAAAGAGCCGGTGGCCTGTGGGATGTATCTCTTTCAGGGAAAGAAAAAACAGAGTAGTGTGTAGCGAGGCTGGTGAGGTAGTAAGAGGCCAGATCACACAGGGCCTTGGAGTTGTATCTTTAAGAGCCATCAGAAACTATTGAAATACTTAAGCCACTTCAGATGATCAGCTTTACATTTTCAGATTCAGTTTAGATGTAATATGGAAAATTGAAGGACGCAAGAGTGGTTGAGAGTAATGCAGTAATGGAAACAAGAAATGTTGGGAAGTGTTTATGGAGACAGGGAGACATAAATAGATGCAAGGGATATTTAGGAAATAAAATGGGTAGGATCTGTGGGGTAGGGGGAAGGAATAGCCAGAGATGACTTGTAGGTTTCTGAATTGCACGGCCGGATGGATGTCATCCACTGAATTAGGAAAATATAGAAGTTCGGTTTTGTACATGATGAGTTATAGGTGCCTTTGAGGCATTTAGGAGGTGTAAAATGGGACGTAGTGTGATCTGGATGGCAAAGTCAAGGCCTAGGGTAGAGATAAAAATCAGGGAGTCATCTGTGAATAAGTAATTATTAAAGCTATGTACATAAATGAATGAAGAATCCCTAGGATGGAGTCTTGGATACTTAATAGCCAGGTTAGAAGATAAACCTACAAAGAAAATCCAGAAGGAGGCTCCAGAAAGGGAGGGAAGCCAGGTGAGTACTATGTCTTAGAAGTTAAGGTAAACATTTTTTTCCAGAAAAAAACCGACCTAGAGGCTGGGCCCCAGGGCTCATGCCTGTAATCCCAGCTCTTTGAGAGGCAGAGGTGAGCAGATCACCTGAGGTCAGGAGTTAAAGACCAGCCTGACCAACATGGAGAAATCCTGCCTGTCTCTACTAAAATTACAAAATTAGCCAGTTGTGGTGGTGCATGCCTGTAATCCCAGATACTTGGGAGACTGAGGCAGGAGAATCGCTTGAAACTGGGCGGTAGAGGTTGCAGTGAGCTGAGATCATGCCATTGCACTCCTGCCTGGGCAACAAGAGCAACTACATCTCAATAAAAACAAACAAAACAAAACAAAAACACAAAAACTGGCCAAAAGTATCAATTATTATTGAGAAATTAAGTAAGGCAGTACTGGAAAACATTCTTTTGAATTATCAACCTGAAAATAATTTCCCATTCTTTTTTGTTTGTTTTTTAAACAGAGTCTTGCCCAGACTGGAGTGCAGAGATGTGATCTCGGCTCACTGCAACCCCCGACTCCCAGGTTCAAGTGATTCTCCTGCCTCAGTCTCCTGAGTAGCTGGGACTACAGGCATGTGCCACCATGCCTGGCTGATTTTTTTTGTATTTTCAGTAGAGACAGTGTTTCACCATGATAGCCAGGATGGTCTTGATCTCCTGACCTTGTGATCCGCCCACCTTGGCCTCCCAAAGTGCTGGGATTACAGGCATGAGCCACAGCGCCCGACCATTCTTTAAAGGAAACCTTACATAGAAGACCAGTATATAAACACATTAAAATTTTTTTTTTAACTTGTAATTTTTGTGGGCATAGGTGTATATAAACAGATTTTTTTTTTAAGTTGCTCTAGTTGAAGTAGGGGTGGAGTACCTATATCCCGTTTATTTCTTTTTTAATTTTTTTATTAAAAAAATTTTTATATTTAAAAAATATGGAACGCTTCACGAATTTGCGTGTCATCCTTGCGCAGGGGCCGTGCTAATCTTCTCTGTATCATTCCAGTTTCAGTGTATGTGCTGCCAAAACGAGCACTGTCCTGTGTATTTCATACCCTATTTATGGGATCACAGTTTGAAACCTTCTGAAAAGTCAACTTCATCTTTTGAGGGTAGGGGAAACTCAATAGTTGAGGTAAAAGGATTTGTTCAACATGATAGTGTTATTTAATGTTAGGGTCTACGTTGGAATTTAGTTCTGATTTCTAGGCTAGTCCTTTTTTTTAAATAATTAGTGTCGGCTGGGCGCGGTGGCTCACCACTGTAATCCTAGCACTTTGGGAGGCCAAGGTGGGTGGATCACCAGAGGTCAGGAGTTCAAGACCAGCCTGGCCATCATGGTGAAACCCCATCTTAAAAAAAAAAAAAAATAATAATAATAATAATAATTAGTGTCTTCTCTACTTTTCATGATGTGTGAGTTTGAAATGTGGTTTAATTGATTTAAACAGAAATTGCTGCGGGTGGAACTTGTCTATCTGGAAAGACTATCTGGATGAATACAAAGAACTTTACATTTTCCCCTAGAGGAAAAGATGCTAGAACCAGAGGAGAATGGCATGATTGACGTACCAGATTATGAGCATGTAGAAGATGAAATTTTTCCTCCTTTCCCACCTCCAGCCTCTCCAGAGAGACAAGATGGTGAAAGAGCTGAGCCTGATGAAGGTATGTATAAAGAGTTTTTAAAAGGAGGCTGTGGTAAAAGGTATTTGAGGAGAGAAAAATAAAAGGGAGGCCGGGCACAGTGGCTCCTGCCTGTAATCCCACCACTTTGGGAGGCTGAGGCAGAGGGATGGCTTGAGCCCAGAAGTTCGAGACCAGCCTGGGGAACATAGCGAGACCTCATCTCTTCTAAAGATTTTGAAATTAGCTGGATGTAGTAGGCTGTGCCTGTAGTTCTAGCTACTAACAATGCTGAAGCAGGAGGATCGCTTGAGCCCAGGAGTTTGAGGCTGCAGTGAGCCAAGATCGTACCACTGCACTCCAGCTTGGGCAACAGAGTGAGACCCTTTTTCAAAAAAGGTGTTACATGTTTAGTTATCTTTTTTTTTTTTTTTTTTTTTTGAGACGCTCTTCTTACCCAGGCTGGAGTGCAATGGCGCAATCTCGGCTCACCGCAGCCTCTGCCTCGTGGGTTCAGGCAATTCTCCTGCCTCAGCCTCCTGAGTAGCTGGGATTACAGGCGTGCACCACCATGCCCAGCTAATTTTTTATATTTTTAGTAGAGACGGGGTTTCATCATGTTGACCAGGATGGTCTCGATCTCTTGACGTCTTGATCCACCTGCCTCAGCCTCCCAAAGTGCTGGGATTACAGGCGTGAGCCACCGCGCCTGGCTAGTTATCTTATCAGCTTGGAAATGATACTTAATAAATAATACAAATTCTTTAAGTACAGTACTACTGATCTTGGTATGTTTTACTAGAGTCAGGAAGTGGAGCACCTGTTCCTGGACCTCCAAAGAGAACAGTTAAAAGAAATATACCAGGCCGGGCGTGGTGACTCACGCCTGTAATCCCAGCACTTTGGGAGGCTGAGGCGGGTGGATCACGAGGTCAAGAGATTGAGACCATCCTGGTCAACATGGTGAAACCCCGTCTCTACTAAAAATACAAAAAATTAGCTGGGCATGGTGGCGCGTGCCTATAATCCCAGCTACTCAGGAGGCTGAGGCAGGAGAATTGCCTGAACCCAGGAGGCGGAGGTTGCCGTGAGCAGAGATCATGCCGTTGCACTCCAGCCTAGGTAACAAGTGAAACTTTGTCTCAAAAAAAAAAGAAAAAAGAAATATACCCAAGTTGGATGCTCAGAGGTACGTTTAGTATATTCTTATACATTTATACTTTTTATTTTTAACATCCATTGTTTTTCTTTTAATGTTAAAAACTTTTGGTTGGTATCATGTGGAGTCACCCAGGCTGGAATGCAATGGTGTGATCTTGAGTCACTGTAACCTCTGCCTTGAAGGTTAAAGTGATTCTCCTGCCTCGGCCTCCTGAGAAGCTGGGATTACAGGCGCATGCCACCACACTCGGCTAAGTTTTGTATTTTTAGTAGAGACGGGGTTTCACCATCTTGATCAGGCTGGTCTTGAACGCCTGACCTGGTGATCTGCCCAGCTCGGCCTCCCAAAGTACTGGAATTACAGGTTTGATCCGCTGCTCCCAGCTAGAATAAAGTTTTTTACAGTAAAACCAGGATTTTATAAGTTTTAAGAAATTCATTTATCAACTTTATCTTTGTTTTTCATTTTTGTTCAGAAATCTTAATTGGAATTTCAAATATGGAGAGGTATTATGTTTTGAGATTGTTTAAACTGTTCTTGCTCATCTTTGACACTTTGCCCTTGGGGTTTCTGGATGTATTTTTTTTTAAGACAGAGTCTTGCTCTTGTCGCCCAGGCTTGAGTGCAGTGGTGCGATTTTGGCTTACTGCAACCTCCACCTTATGGGTTCAAGCGATTCTACTGCCTCAGCCTCCCAAGTAGCTGGTACTACAGGTGCCTACCACCACGCCAGCTAGTTTTTGTATTTTCAGTAGAGACAGGGTTTCACCATGTTGGTCAGGCTGGTCTTGAACCTCAGGTGATCTGCCTGCCTTGGTCTCCCAAAGTGTTGGGATTAAAGACATGAGTCCCCACACCCAGGCTATATATATATATTTTTAAATTAATTTTCTTTAGAAATGGGGGTCTTGGACTGAGTGCAGTGGCTTACACCTGTAATCCCAGCACTTTGGTAGGCCAAAGCGGGTGGATTATTTAAGGTCAGGAGTTCAAGGCCAGCTTGGCTAACATGGTGAAATCCTGTCTGTACTAAAAATACAAAAAATAGTGAGGTGGTAGTGGCATGCACCTGTAATCCCAGATACTCAGGAGGCTCAGGCAGAAGAATCCCTTGAGCTTGGGAGGCAGAGGTTGCAGTGAGCTGAGATCAGGCCTCTGCACTCCAGTCTGGGTGAGAGAGTGAGACCCTGTCTTAAAAAAATAAAAAAAAGAAATGAGGGTCATGCTGTCAACCAGGCATGACAGCATGTGGCATGTCAGTACAGTGGCATGATCATAGCTTACTTTACCCTCAAACTTCTGGGCTCAGGTGATCCCCCCAACCCCAGCCTTCCGAATAGCTGTGACTATAGGCATGCACCACCATGCCCAGCTACTGAATGTATTTTTTGAAAAACAATTTTTTTTAGACAGGGTCTTGCTCTATTACCCAGGCTAGAGTGCAGTGGTGCTGTCATGGGTTACTGCAGCTTTGAACTCTGAGGCTTAAGCAATTCTCTTGCCTTGGCTTCCAAGCAGCTGGGACCACAGGTATGCATCACCATGCCTGCCTAATTAAAAACAATTTTTTTTTTTTTTGTAGAGATGGGGTCTTCCTATGATACCCAGGCTGGCCTCAAACTCCTAAGCTCAAGCAATCCTCCTGCCTTGGCCTCCCAAAGTGTTGGGATTACATGTTTAAGCCACTGTGCCCAGCTGTATGTGTTCTTAAAGTTCTGAATTCTCTTCTTTTTCTTTAATTTTTTATTATTTATTTATTTATTTCTTAAGACGGGGTTTCACCATGTTGGTCAGGCTGGTCTTGAACTCCTGACCTCAGGTGATCCACCCGCCTTGGCCTCCAAAGTGCTTGGATTACAGGCATGAGCCACCACGCCCGGCCTAAATTCTGAATTCTCAATGCTTTCTTCTGTACATATGATTTAGGGACCTGTCACAGTGTTTAGTTATTCCTAGAAGTTATTCCTATCTTGACATACTTTATTAAACCTTGTTTGGGGTTTTACATTATATTTCTGAAAAGATATACATATTACTATCTTTTAACTTTATTAAGTTTCTTGTTTGTTTTTTTTGGGGGGGGATGGAATCTCGCTCTGTTGCCTAGGCTGGAGTGCAGTGGTGTGATTTTGGCTCAGTGCAACCTCTGCCTCCTAGGTTCAAGGGATTCTTCTGCCTCAGCCTTCCGAGTAGGTAGGATTACAGGTGCATACCACCATGCTGGCTAATTTTTGTATTTTTAGTAGAGAGGGGGTTTCACCATATTATACTGGCCAGGCTGATTTTGGACTCCTGACCCCTCCCAAAGTGCTGGGATTACAGGGGTGAGCCACTGCCTGGCCTTGTTTTTTTTTGAGAGGGGAGTTTCTTGGTCACCCAGGCTGGAGTGTGATGGCGCCATCTTGGCTCACTGCAACCTCCGCCTCCTGGGTTCAAGCATTTCTTTTGCCTCAGCCTCCCAAGTAGCTGGGATTACAGGAACCCGCCGCCACACCCAGCTAATTTTTGTATTTTTAGTAGAGACTGGGTTTCACCATGTTGGCCAGGCTGGTCTCAGACTCCTGACCTTAGGTCATCTACCTGCCTCGGCCTCCCAAAGTGCTGGGATTATAGGTGTCAGCTATTGTGCCCAGCCAACTTTATTAAATTTTCATACTGGGATTTTTTTTTATTTAATTTTTACGAATCTCTATCCAGGCTAGATGCCGTGACTCCTACTGTAATCCCAGCACTTTGGGAGGCCAGGGCAGATCACTTGAGGCCAGGAAGCATGGCAAAACCCCATCTCTACTAAAAAATACAAAATTGGGCTGGGCTCAGTGGCTCACCTCTGTAATCCCAGCACTTTGGGAGGCTGAGGCAGGCAGATTACCTGAGGTCGGGAGTTTGAGACCAGCCTGACCAATATGGAGAAACCCTGTCTCTACTAAAAAATACAAAATTAGCTGGGGCGTGGTGGTGCATGCTTTTAATCCCAGGCACTTGGGAGGCTCAGGAAGGAGAATTGCTTAAACCCGGGAGGCAGAGGTTGCAGGGAGCCGACATGGCACCATTGTACTCCATCCTGGGCATCAAGAGAAAAACTCTGCCTCAAAACAAACAAAAAGCCGAGAGTGGTGGTACACGCCTCTAATCCCAGCTGCTCAGAAGGCTGAGGGAGGAGAATTGCTTAAACCCAGAAGGCAGAGATTGCAGTGAACCCAGATTGTGCCCTTGCACTTAGCCTAGATGACAGAGTGAGACTGTCTCTCAAAAAAAAAGAAAATATCTGTATCCATTGCTCTTTCAGACTCCGTCCTCTAAGGTCTTAATTTGTCTCTTTTTTTTTTTTTTTTCTGGGAGATAGGATCTTGCTCTGTCACACTGGAGTGCGGTGTTGTGAACTTGTCTCACTGAATCCACTGCTTTCCAGGCTCAAAATCCTCCCATCTCAGCCACCTGAGTAGCTGGGTCCACAGGCATGCACCACCAGGACTGGATATGTTTTGTGTTTTTAGTAGATAAGGGGTCTCACCACGTTGCCCAGTCTGGTCTTGAACTCCTGAGCTCAAGTGATCTGTCTGTGTAGGCCTCCCAAAGTGCTGTGATTACAGGCGTGAACCACTGTGTCTGGCCAGTATTTTTCTTATTAAACTTCCTTTTATAAGTTTTTCGATCTTAAGAATATAAAATGACCCCAGTGATTTTGGCATAGCTTTTGAGTTCTGAAACTTGCTGACAGGATCAGTTGTGAGAATGAGACTCCTGCTTAGCATTTTTATTTTTTATATTTTTTTTGAGACGGAGTTTCGCTCTTGTTACCCAGGTTGGAGTGCAATGGCACGATCTTGGCTCACTGCAACCTCCGCCTCCTGGATTCAGGCAATTCTCCTGCCTCAGCCTCCTGAGTAGCTGGGATTACAGGCACGCGCCACCATGCCCAGCTAATTTTTGTATTTTTATTAGAGACGGGGTTTCACCTTGTTGACCAGGATGGTCTTGATCTCTTGACCTCGTGATCCACCCGCCTCGGCCTCCCAAAATGCTGGGATTACAGCATTTTTATTTTTATTTTATTTTATGTGCCAGGCTGAAGACTTGAAGACACTAATCAGACACATGGAGCACTGGGCACATAGACTATTCCCTAAACTGCAGTTTGAGGATTTTATTGACAGAGTTGAATACCTGGGAAGTAAAAAGGAAGTTCAGGTAAGTGTTGAGATGATTATTAATATTCACAATGCTAAATGATAAGATAGATTCAGTTGAGGCTAGGCTGGGCATGGTGGCTCACACCTGTAATCTCAGCACTTTGGGAGGCTGAAGTGGGCGGATCATGAGGTCAGGAGATCAAGACCACCCTGGCCAACATGGTGAAACCCTGTGTCTACTAAAATACAAAAATTAGCCGGGTGTGGCAGCAGGCGCCTGTAGTCCCAGCTACTTGGCAGGCTGAGGCAGGAGAATTGCTTGAACATGGGAGGTGGAGACTGCAGTGAGCCGAGTTTGTGTTACTGCACTCCAGGCTGGGTGAAAGAGTGAGACTCTGTCTTAAAAAAAAAAAAAAAAAGACTTGGTTGAGGCTAAATTGCTGTTTGAAATCTTCATTTTGAAATCTCTTTTGGTAGAGAGGGAAATTTTTTTTTTTTTTTTTGAGGCGGAGTTTTGCTCTTGTTACCCAGACTGGAGTGCAATGGTGTAATCTCGGCTCACCGCAACCTCTGCCTCCTGGGATCAGGCAATTCTCCTGCCTCAGCCTCCCGAGTAGGTGGGACTACAGGCACGCGCCACCATGCCCAGCTAATTTTTGTATTTTTAGTAGAGACGGGGTTTCACCATGTTGTCCAGGATGGGTCTCGATCTCTTGACCTCACGATCCACCCGCCTCGCCTCCCAAAGTGCTGGGATTATAGGCGTGAGCCACCACGCCCGGCCAGAGGGAAAATTAATGGCAAATTACTATTTACCCCCATAACATTATTGGTAAGGAGGTAAAAATAAATAATCTCTTTTTTATTTTCAGACCTGTTTAAAACGAATTCGACTTGATCTTCCTATTTTGCATGAAGATTTTGTAACAATAATGGTAAGAATATAGGTTTATCTACTTTGTAACAATTTTGGTTTTAGGAATAGATCTATAGGCAGGGTGTGGTGGCTCATGCCTGTAATCCTAGCACTTTGCTTTTTCATTTCTTGTTTAGGGACAGAATGTTGCTCTCTTACCTAGTTTTGAGTGCAGTGGGACAATCATAGATCCTCCCACCTCAGCCTCCCAAGTAGCTGGGACTACAGGTGCATTCCACTGCGCCTGGCTAATTTTTAAATTTTTGTAGAGTTGGGGATCTCCCTGTGTTGCCTGGGCTGGTCTCACACTCCTGGACTCAAGGCATCCCAGTTCAGCTTCCCAGTGTGTTGGGATTACAGGCTTGAGCCACCGTGCCTGGCCAATTTTTTTTTAAAGACAGAGTTTTACTCTGTAGCCCAGGCTGGAGTGCAGTGGTGGGATCTGGGCTCACTGCAATTTCCACCTCCTGGGTCCTGGTTCAAGCAGTTCTCCTGCCTCAGCCTCCCAAGTAGCTGGGATTACAGGCATGTGCCACCATGCCCAGCTAATTTTTGTATATATGTATATATATTTTTTTTAGTAGAGATGGGGTTTCACCATGTTGGCCAGGCTGGTCTTGAATTCCTGACCTCATGATCTGCTCACCTTAGTCTCTGAAAATTCTGGGATTACAGGCGTGAGCCACTGCACCCAGCTTGTTAATTTTTTTTAAGACGTGTCAAAGCTGGGCGCAGTGGCTCACGCCTGTAATCCCAGCATTTTGGAAGGCTGAGGCAGGCGGATCACCTGAGGTCGGGAGTTCAAGACCAGCCTGAGCAACATGGAGAAACCCCATCTCTACTAAAAATACAAAATTAGCTGAGCATACTGGTGCATGTCTGTAGTCCCAGCTACTTGGGAGGCTGAGGCAGGAGAATTGCTTGAACCTGGGAGGCAGAGGTTGTGGTGAGCTGAGATTGCAGCATTGCACACTCCAGCCTGGGGCAATGAGAGTGAAACTTCATCTCAAAAAAAAAAAAAGGAAAAGAAATGACTAGTTAAGTGCAGTAGTGAAAAGGGAGGAAAGAGTAGAACAAGGAGTTTGATCCGTAACTGACTGTGAATGGAGATAACTCACTACCTTTGGATCAACCCCAGTTCTTTGGGAGGCCATGGAGGGAGGATTACTTGAATCCTGGAGTTCAAGACCAGCCTGGGCAACCTAGTGAGACCTCTGTCTCCAAAAATTTTTAAAAAGTTACTCAGGGGGTCAAGGCGGGAGGATCACTTGAGCCCAGGAATTCAAGGCTGCAGTGAACCAGGATCACACCACTATATTCTAGCCTGGGGAATAGGGTGAGACCTTGTCTGGGAAAAAAAAAAAAAAAAAAGGAATAGAAGTAGTTAGAGGAGCCAGAATTATAGGACTGGATCCTTAGTCCATATTGTGTATTTTATTAATAGATGGTAAAGTACAATAAATAAGGCATTTAGGTATGTTAAAATGCCTTGGTAGTGGACTGGGCACAGTGGCCCATGCCTATAGTCCCAGCACTTTGGGAGGCTGAGGTGGGCAGATCGCTTGAGGTCAGCAGTTTGAAACCAGCCTGGCCAACATGAGGAGACCCCGTCTATACTGAAAATACAAAAATTAGCTGGACGGGATGGTGTACACCTGTAATCCCAGCTATTCAAGAGGCTGGGACAGGAGAGTTGCTTGAATCCAGGAGTTGGAGGTTGCAGTGAGCTGAGATTGTGTGGCTGCACTCCAGCCTGGGTGACAGAGTGAGACTCCGTCTCAAAAAAAAAAAAAAAAAGTCTTGGTACATCAGATTTGTTGTAGAATATGAGCTTTTGAGAACTCTGGTGACCCACTAATCATATATAGCATTTGTTAATAAAAATATATATCAAGATAAAGTGTTCATGTATGTATACACCATTGGATAAAGTGATACTGGAAAATTAGGTGAAATAATTTAATGGAAGTTTGCATTTCACTCAGAGTGCAGCTCTCGGATATAGGACTTTAATGAGATCTATGTGACTGTTCCTGGTATTGATTGCATTTGTTAGTTGTACAGTGCAACCATAGACAGTCACACACATCAAAACAGATGGTTCCTGCCGACAGAGTCTGTATAGTTATCAGATTTTCTGTGCGATGGATCCATACATGTTTGTTTTTATATTTTAACTTTTAATGACATACAACGTTGCCAGAAGTGTGGTAGGTGTTATAATTAGAGGTATGAGTAGGTCACAGGGTGGGATGCAAAGGAGAGCATATTACAAGTCCCTGGGGGTGGAGGAAGAGCTTCACAAAGGAGATTTCAGAAGAATTTTGATTTGGGGGTGGGAGGAAGAAAAAGGAAATTAAAAAGAGAAGTATTTTGAATGAACATTAGAGGCCAGGCAGAGGTGATTTTGGATGGGGAGCCACCTATGCAGAGGTATAAATTAACATGGATTTTAGGCTCTATTCTACGGCAGTAAAAAAAAAAGGGGGGGCAGGCTCGGTGGCTCAGGCTTGTAATCCTTGCAGTTTGGGAGGTCGAGGTGGGTAGAGCACATGGGCCTAGGAGTTTGAAATCAGCCTGTGAAACATAGGGAGACCCTGTCTCTACAAAGAAATAAAGAACTTAGCCAGGCAGTTGGTGCACGCCTGTAGTCCAAATTACTCAGGAGGCTGAGTGAGGTGGGAAGATTGCTTAAGCCTGGGAGGTTGAAGTTTCAGAGAGCTCTGATCATGCACGCAAGCCACTGTGCTCCACCCTGGGCGACAGTGAGACCCTACCTCAAAAATAAATAAGTAAATAAAAATAAAATGAAATTAAAAAAAATTAGAAGTACACATGAGGCTGGGCGTGATGGCTCAAACCTGTAATCCCAGCACTTGGGAGGCAGAGGCAGGAGGATCACCTGAGGTCCGGAGTTCGAGACCAGCCTGACCAACATGGAGAAACCCTATCTCTAGTAAAAAATACAAAATTAGCTGGGTGTGGTGGCGGATGCCTATAATCCCAGCTACTCAGGAGGCTGAGACAGGAAATCGCTTGAACCCAGGAGGCAGAGGTTGCGGTGAGCCAAGATGGTGCCACTCCAGATGCAATGGTGTGATTTTGGCTTACTGTGACCTCTGCTTCCTGGGTTCAAGTGATTCTCCTGCTTCAGCCTCCTGAGTAGCTGGGACTACAGGTGCATGTCATCACACCTGACCAATTTTTGTATTTTTAGTATAGACAGGGTTTTACCATGTTGGCCAGGTTGTTCTCAATTCCTTGACCTTGTGATTTGCCTGCCTCAGCCTACCAAAGTGCTGGTATTATAGGTGTGAGCCACCGAGCCTGGCCTAAAAAACCCCACGTTTCATAAGTGGGTTTTTTTTTTCTTTTTGAGACGGAGTTTCATTCTTGTTGCCCAGGCTGGAGTGCAGTGGCATGATCTCGGCTCACCGCAACTTCCACCTCCTGGGTTCAAGCTATTCTCCTGCCTCAGCCTCCTGAGTAGCTGGGATTACAGGCATGTGCTACCACGCCTGGCTAATTTTGTATTTGTACATGTATTTTTTTTTTGAGATGGAGTCTCACTCTGTCCTCAGGCTGGAGTGCAGTGGTGTGATCTTGGCTCACAGCAGCCTTCGACTCCTGGGTTTAAGTGATTCTCCTGCCTCAGCCTCCTGAGTAGCTGGGACTACAGGCGCCTGCCACCACATCCATCTAATTTTTTTGTATTTTTAGTAGAGACGGGGTTTCACCATGTTGCTCAGGATGGTCTCACCTCGTGACCTCATGATCCACCTGCCTTGGCCTGCCAAAGTCTTGGGATTACAGGTGTGAGCCACCGTGCCTGGCCCTAATTTTGTGTTTTTAGTAGAGATGGGGTTTCTCCATGTTGATCAGGCTGATCTACCTCCCGCCACCCAGCTTCCCAAAGTGCTGGGATTACAGGCATGACCACCATGCCCAGCTCATAAGTGGTTCTAATGCTTGTTTTCTAACTGCTTCATCAGTGTTTCATACATGTACTCTATCAGTATTTTCTGATAATGGAAGCCATTTTAGTTTCTTGCTTCATTTTTTTCATGTCAGGAAGGAAAAGTGGCTTTTCAGTTTTCACTACTAAGGAAGAAACCTTAAAAGGGAGTTTGATTGCAAAAGGCTCAATTAAGTAGCACGTGATTTTTAAATCTCACTGGAATAATTGTAAAGGTTTGTCTTTATGTTTTAAATGTTTTTTAAATTGTATTTTTCTATAATTAGCTAATATCTCAAGGTATAATATATACATAGAAAAAGGATGATATATATATAAACACATTTCAAATGGTGACGTGAATTGTTTGACCAACTTGTCAGATGTAATGGGGTTTATTTTTTTTTAATTTCATCATGTGGATGATACACATAGAAAGTAAAGTGTCAGTTTTGCTGTTTATTTTTTCCTTGTGCTTCTGTTCCACCTACAGGCATTTTGTTATTTTGTAGAATCTTTTTTTTTTTTGAGATGGAGTCTTGCTTTGTCACTCAGGCTAGAGTGCAGTGGCATGATCTTGGCTCACTGCAACCTCTGTTTCTCTGGTTCAAGCAAGTCTTCTGCCTCAGCCTCCCGAGTAGCTGGGATTACAGGAATTTGCCACCACACCCAGCTAATTTTTGTACTTTTATTGGAGACAAGGTTTTACCATCTTGGCCAGGCTGGTCTTGAACTCCTGACGTTGTTATCCACCCACCTTTGCCTCCCAAAGTTCTGGGATTACAGGCTTCAGCCACCTTGCAGAATCTTTTTTTTTTTTTTTTTGGGTGATGGAGTCTTGCATTCTTGCCCTAGCCGCAGTGCAGTGGCACCATCTTGGCTCACTGCAACCTCCGCCTCTTGGGTTCAAGTGATTCTCTTGCCTTAGCCTCCCAAGTAGCTGGGATTACAGGGTCTGCCACCATGCCCAGCTAAGTTTTTCTATTTTTAGTAGAGACAGGGTTTCACTATGTTGGCCAGGCTGGTCTCAGACTCCTGACCTCGTGATTTGCCTGTCTCAGCCTTCCAAAGTACTGGGATTCCAGGTGTGAACCACTGCATCCAGCCAGCTTTTTAAGTTACCACTTGTGCATTTTGTTGGGGTTGTTTGGTTAAAGTAAGATGAAATCCATCAGTTTACTTGGCTGGGTAATCAGAAATAGCTGTATGACTGAAATTGTAAATTGAGGGGGGCCCAATTCGAGTGGCTCACAAATCAGACAGTAACTCTGTCATAAGGACAAGGGACAGTTAACCACTGCCAGTCCTACTTTAAATGTTAGTAAAACATAGTTTTTCTTAATTCTTAAATGAAATATAAATGGAAGATCTATTATTTACTTTCTCTACTACTGTAGATCATTTGTAGTTATCCTACCTTGAGTTAACTGGTTTACAGAGCTTTAATAATTTAATACTTGTAATGTAGACCACACTGAATTTAAAAAGAAATTAATTTGGAAATCTGTCCATAGATTTTTAAACTTTTCATTTTTCATTTGTCTGTTTTACCCTACAAAAGATAGTGTCCTACATAAAATTACTTTTTACTGGCCAGGCGTGGTGGGTCACACCTGTAATTAATTGCAGCACTTTGGGAAGCTGAGGCAGGTGGATCACCTGAAGTCAGGAGTTTGAGACCAGCCTGGCCAACATGGTAAAACCCTGTCTCTATTAAAAATACAAAAACTAGCTGGGTGTGATGGTAGGCACCTGTAATCCCAGCTACTCAGGAGGTTGATGCAGGAGAATTGCTTGAACCTGGGAGGTGGAGGTTTCAGTGAGCCGAAATCAAGCCATTGCACTCCAGCCTGGGTGACAAGAGTGAAACTCCATCTCAAAAATAAAATAAAATTATTTTTTCCCATATAGACACTGTGGCAAACTACTGAAATGGTTTAATATAGAACAAGAATGTGGTATGGAAGGTGAAACCCCGTCTCTACTAAAAATACAAAAATTAGCTGGGCATGGTGGTGTGCACCTGTAGTCCCAGCTACTCGGGATGCTGAGGCAGGAGAATTGCTTGAACCCAGTTGAACCCAGAAGGCGGAGGTTGCGGTGAGCCGAGATCGTGCCATTGCACTCCAGTCTGGGTAACAACAACAAAATTCCATCTCAAAAAAAAAAAAGAATGTGGTTTGGATTCTTTAAGCTCTTTTATTAGACCAAGCATAAAATAACTCTAATTACAACCAGTAACTTTTGTTTCCTTTCATGTGTATTTTAAATTGTATTTTCATTTGACTTAACATGCTCTTCAAGTGATTTATACATATTTCTTACTTATTTGAATCAATCATGTATTCACAATATTCTTATACCTCACAAATTGTTTCTTCAGGTCTGGCAGCTTGCCACTTTAAATCCTTTTTCAATGAAAAGCCCTTCTCTGACTAGCCTAATACTACAGATGTACTAACTTTCTTTTCTACTGCAGGTGAAGTTATGGAAAATAATGAACATGATGTAACTGCTAGTGAATGAGATCCCTTTTTGACAAACTCATCTGAAAGTGAGATACTTGCTTCTGAATCAAGTAAAAGCCTAACGGAAGAGCAACACCAAAGAATTGAGAGAAATAAACAACTGGCCTTGGAAAGAAGGCAGGCAAAGCTGCTGAGTGATAGTCAGTCCCTAGGAAATGGTAAATTTCATGCCAGATTTTATGTGCTACTGTTAATATATCAAGGACATGTTAGAAATTTTAACTTTGTTGCTAGCCCTCAAAATAAAATACTTCTAGGAGTAGAAAAGTGTGTTACTAAGTTTATGTATATTTTAGAGACAGTGTGTGAGAGAAGAGAGAAACGTATGTGTTCCTCAAAGAATAGATAAATCCAAGATGGTTTTCTGGATAGCTGAGTACCTATTAAAAAATTACTTTAATCACTTGGCTCGGCACAGTGGCTCATGCCTGTAATCCCAGCACTTTGGAAGGCCTAGGTGGGAGGATCACCTGAGGTCAGGCGTTCAAGACTAACCTGGCCAACATGGTGAAACCCCGTCTCTACTAAAAATATAAAAATGAACTAGGCATAGTGATGTGCGCCTGTCATCCCAGCTACTTGAGAAACTAAGGCAGGAGAATTGCTTGAATCCAGGAGGCAGAGGTTGCAGTGAGCTTAGATTGTCCCATTGCGTTCCAGCCTGGGCGAAAAGAGCAAAACTCCATCTCAAAAATGAATAAATAAATAAACAAAAGAGGCCAGGCGAATTGGCTCATGCCTATAATCCCACTACTTTGGGAGGCTAAGGCGGGTGGATCACAAGGTCAGGAAATCGAGACCATCCTGGCCAACATGGTGAAACCGCATCTCTACTAAAAATATGAAAATTAGTCGGGCATGGTAGTGTGTGCCTGTAATCCCAGGTACTCGGGAGGCTGAGGCAGGAGAATCACTTGAACCTGGGAGGTGGAGGTTGCAGGAAGCTGAGATTGTACCACTGCTCGTCCCAGCTACTTGAGAGGCTGAGGAGGCAGGAGAATCACTTGAATCCCGAAGGCGGAGGCTGCAGTGAGCTGAGATCACCATGCCACTGCACTCCAACCTGGGCAACGGAGTGAGACTGTCCCTCTCCACCTAAAAAATGCTTTTTCTTGTGTTTTGTCACTTGTTATCTGTACTTTTAAAAGTAGCTGTTTAATTTGCCCATCTGTTGAGCATCCCCATCTCACTTCTAAAACTGCCTGAAAATTAGTTTTATTTAAAAATATATTATTATGACTATTTTTAGAAACGTTCTCTATCTGTCACCCTGGCTAGAGTGCAGTGGTGTGATCTTGACTCACTGCAGTCGTGAACTTCTGGTCTCAAGCAGTCCTCCATTGTTGGCCTCCCAAAGTGCTGGGATTACAGGTGCGAGCCATTGTATCTGGCCTAAATTTGCTAGTTTTTTTTTTTTCTTTTTCTTTCTGAATACCAGTAATATCAGGATATAAATTTGCTGTTTTAAACACAGATTGTGGGTTTGGAAACTACATAACCAAGTTCGTTAAAACTATATTTAGGAAGAATTGCAAGCTGGTTTTGAATGAAGTAAGCGGATTGCATATATTTTTCTCAATTTCCAATTCAGTTTTTTCTTTCAAAATGGAAAAATAAGAATTATAGGCCCAGCACAGTGGCTCTTGCCTGTAATCCCAGCACTTTGGGAGGCTGAGGCAGGCAGATCAGTTGAGCCCGGAAGTTCAAGACCAACTTGGGCAACATAGACCCTGTCTATACAAAATTAATGATAATAAATAGATAGCATGTTGTAAAAGAAGCTTCACCCGGGTTGGGTGTGGTGGCTCCCACCTGTAATCCCAGCACTTTGAGAGGCTGAGGTGGGCGGATCACCTGAGGTTGGGATTTTGAGACCAGCCTTACCAACATGGTGAAACCCAATCTCTACTTAAAAATACAAAATTAGCAGTGTGTGTGGTGACGCATGCCTATAATCCCAGCTACTCAGGAGGCTGAGGCAGGAGAATTGCTTGAACCGAGGAGACGGAGGTTGCGGTGAGCTGAGAGGGTGCCATTACCTAATACTCTAGCCTAGGCAGCAGGAGCGAAACTTTGTCTCAAAAAAAAAGTTACACCCAGTATATTAAAATTTTCAAGTGAAAATTATTTTGATTACCTTTTTTTTTTTCAGTTAGGATGAATTTTCTTTTTTTTTTTTTTCTTCCCCTTTTTTGAGACGAAGTCTCACTCTGTACACCAGGCTGGAGTCAGGTGGCACGATCTTGGCTCACTGCAACCTCTGCCTCCCAGGTTTCCCAGGTTCAAGCAGTAACCCTGCCTCAGCCTCCTAAGGAGGCTCCTCCTCCTGAGTGGTATCATCATACCTGGCTAATGTTTGTATTTTTAGTAGGGATGGGGTTTCACTTTGTTGGCCAGGCTGGTCTCGAACTTTTGACCTCATGATCCACCCACCTTAGCCTCCCAAAGTGCTGGGATTACAGACATTAGCCACCACGCCTCACTGAATTTGCTTTTTCTTTATAATTAGATTTTTTTTTTTTTTTTTTTGAGACGGAGTTTCGCTCTTGTTACCCAGGCTGGAGTGCAATGGCACAATCTTGGCTCACCGCAACCTCCACCTCCTGGGCTCAGGCAATTCTCCTGCCTCAGCCTCCCGAGTAGCTGGGACTACAGGCACATGCCACCATGCCCAGCTAATTTTTGGTATTTTTAGTAGAGACGGGGTTTCACCATGTTGACCAGGATGGTCTCGATCTCTTGACCTCGTGATCCACCCGCCTCGGCCTCCCAAAGTGCTGGGATTACAGGCTTGAGCCACCGCGCCCGGCCTATAATTAGATGTTTTATTAGTACTGTGTGAAACATTACATGAAGATTGTAATGTGTGTGTTTGTGAGAAGGTCTCACTGTCACTCAGGCTGGAATATAGCAGCCCAATTCTAACTCACTGCAGCCTGAAAGTCCTGCAGCCCAAGCTATCCTCTTGCCTTAGCTTCCCAAGTAGCTGTGGCTGCAGGCATGTATCACCATGCCTGGCTAACTTTTTAATTTTTGTAGCGATGGCGTCTCACTGTGTTGACTAGGCTGGTCCTGGACTCTTGGCCTCAAGTGATCTTCCATGGCACTTGGCCTCTCACCTTCTTTTCCCTTGGGGAAAGGGGAGGATGATGGTGCTATAGTGGCTTCCATCTACAAAGCCAGGACAGGCAGGCATCTTTTCTTCACGGATTCTGACTTCAGGTAGGGATAGGGAGTGAAAAAGATGGTTTGATTGAAAAGCCAGGAAGTTGAGCACAAGGAGAACATCTGGGATGGGGCAGGAGGGGACTGTGGGCCTGCTGGGAACTGCCACAGGGATGGGCCAAGAGGCATGTGTATCAGGAGAATTGTGGCTAACTACAGCCATTAGGGGATCAGCTAGAAGATGGAGAGCAGTTTCAAGGTGCCACCAATGCCTAGAGAAACTGCTTCCTCAAGAGGGCCTATTCCTGCTTCTCTCTACCCTCACAAAACTGTATTAAATAACTGAGAAAGAAGAGTTAATTTTTTTAGAGACAGAGTTTCACTCTGTTGCCCAGGCTGGAGTGCAGTGGGGCAATCTCGGCTCACTGTAACGTTCGCCTCCCAGGTTCAAGCGATTCTTTGCCTCAGGCTCCCGAGTAGCTGTGATTACAGGCGCCCGTGACCATGCCTGGCTACTTTTTTTGGTATTTTTAGTAGATGGCCAGGGTTTCGCCATCTTGGCCAGGCTGGTCTTGAACTCCTGACCTCATGATCCACTTGCCTCGGCCTCCCAAAGTGCTGGGATTATAGGTGTGAGCCACAGTGCCCAGCCAAGAGTTAATTTTTCTAGTAGGAGGTTTGCTAGCAAAGTAACATGTTACCCATAAGGGGAAGGTCAGTGCACCTCATCCAAATGGGAGGGTGGGAAGGGAGCCCTGTGACATAGAACTTTCCCTGCACACCCTACCACCTACCCTGTGTCCTATTCCCAGCTAGTACTGGAGACAGCAGGGAAGGGTTGAGTCAAATAGGAAACAGGAGTTAAGTGGAGAGGTAGACTCAGAACTAGGTCTTACTATCTGAAAGTGACTGAAAATTACCGGACAGATGTGAAAATCCATTTGTCCAGTGACCCTAATGGATTCATAATTATTGGAAAAATAAAACATTTGAACTGATTTGAGACAAGATAACCAATAATTTGGGGTTTATTAAAATTATTAAAAAGGGGCCAGCAAGCTGCAGAGCCACCACTTACTGTCCACTCATTATTGAACACTCAGTTAACAAAGTGACCTAATTATATTTCATTTAATGCAAGTTTAATGAATGAGAACATTTTACATGTATGTGAAATAGCTACCCAGTCCTGATCGACTAGAGTGACACACATTAAATGTTAGGTTTGAAAAGACTGTAAAACATTCACAGGTGACAGCTCCTAGTGAAGTAAGAGTCTTTCATATTCCATAACTGTTTGAAACATCCAGGAGAGCTAGGTCCTTTATCTCCTCTAGAAGTGTGTATAGGCTCCTTCCCTTTGTTTGGCAATATTCTTGATATTCTTCCTGAATGATGTCTACTTTGACTTCTTGGGCAAGCTGAGCTTCTTCCACAGACTTAGTGACTTCTTTCACTAACTCACTCTTCAGGAAGGGGGGACTCTGGTGAAAGAGTTCTGTATTTGGGATCTTGTATGGTTTGTTACTTATTATTTCAAGTCGGATGGTATCAGAATGGCAGCGTGAGGCCTGTACGGATATTCTTACCTAGCATAGAGAAGAAAATACGTTACTAAATCATACTGTTTGTTCTTTACATTTAAAATATTAATAATACTTAATAGGAAGATAAACTTACGGTTACGTGGTCAAACAAGTGGAATGTAACAGATTCCCCATCTGTTGTAGTAGAGGTAATTTTGTTTTGAAATCGTTGAAGGGATCCTGGTTTCCATTCAGAACGGCTATCTGAGCCACATGAGATGACTAAACCATCTTTATTTTTTAGATAAGCAGCACCTTTAATCCCAAACCTATATTTTGGCCAGAATATAAATCCAGAGACAATGTATTCTTAGTACGCAGATCTTTTTTTTTTTTTTTTTTTTTTTTTTGAGACAGTCTTGTTTTGTTGCCAGGGTCAGGCTGGAGTGCAGTGGCGCAATTTTGGCTCACTGCAACCTCTCCCTCCCAGGTTCAAATAATTCTTCTGCCCTAGCCTTCCCGAGGAGCTGGGACTACAGGTGTGCGCCACCACACCCAGCTCATTTTTTTTGTAGTTTAGTAGAGATGGGGTTTCATCATGTTGGCCAGGATGGTCTCCATCTCTTGACCTCGTGATCTGCCCGCCCTGGCCTCCCAAAGTGCTGGGATTACAGGTGTGAGCCACCGTGCCTGGCTGTACACAGATCTTACATGCTTATCTAGAATACTAGTTTTTCTCCTAGATTAAAAACAAATCACCTTTCCAAGAATTTATTTCACCTTAGCAGATGGAAACAGAGTGTTTTGCTGGATTAGAAAGACCCTAAAATGGATATAGATGAATATATATATGTATTCCAATCTTTACTTTTTTTTTGAGACAGAGTCTTGCTTTGTCTCCCAGGCTAGAGTGCAGTGGCACAATCTTGGCTCACTGCAACCTCTGCTTCCTGGGTTCAAGCAATTCTCCTGCCTCAGCCTCCCAAGTAGCTGGGATTATAGGCACGCACCACCATGCCTGGCTAACTTGTATTTTTAGTAGAGATGGGGTTTCTCCATGTTGGCCAGGCTGGTCTTGAACTCCTGACCTCAGGTGATCCACCCACCTCGGCCTCCCAAAGTTCTGGGATTACTGGCGTGAGCCACTGCACCTGGCCTCCAATCTTGACATTTATATTCTGAATTATACATTACATTATGTACATATGGTAATAAGTTGCTTAAAATTTTTTTTTAGTTTTTTTATTTTTCTGAGATGGAGTCTTGCTCTGTTGCCCAGGCTGGAGTACAATGGTGTGATCTCAGCTCACTACAGTCTCTGCCTCCTGGGTTCAAGTGATTCTCCTGCCTCCGCCTCCTGAGTAGCTGGGATTATAGGCACGTGCCACCACACCTGGCTAAGTTTTGGATTTTTAGTAGAGATGGGATTTCACCATGTTGGTCAGGTTAGTCTTGAACTCCTGATCTTGTGATCTGCCTGCCTTGACCTCCCAAAGTGCTGAGATTAGAGGCATGAGCCACTGAGCCCAGCCTGTTTAAATAGTTTAATAAATTATATCTAATGTACAGTTTGTATTCTACACTTTTAGTTTAACTATGATTTCGTATATGTCATTGCATTGGATGTAACATACCTTGGTATAAATACCAGCACACCATTTGTTCGAATTGAATAAATAACTCCATCAGATACGCAACGCTCCTCGGTGTCAGGGTCTTTGTCTTTGAAGTACATGCACTGGAAGAGCTCAGTAGACTGCTTCTGAGAATGCTGTGCTGCCTATAAGAAGCACAACTCCAAAGCATTATAACATTCCCTTGGCATTTCCCGAAGAAAAGAAATTCATATTCATTCAAAGGTGAGATTCTGTAAAACTATTAATATAAAAATTGTTCTCTTGTGTAATTTTTGTGAGAACTTAACCATCTAGTATTATCTCCTCAAAATGTCTTAGAAAATGAATTATTTTATAAAATGAAACCCATTTATAGTTTATAGAAATTAGAGGTCAGCAAATATGGGACATGTCCATCGTGGGAACAGGAAAAGTATCACACGTCTTACTTCTTTTCAAGCCTGTTATACCAAAACCCTATTGGTGGATGTATAAATTAGCATTACTGATAAGGAGGACAATTTAGTAATATGTATGAAAAGTTTTCTTTCTTTTTCTTTTAGATAGAGTCTCACTCTGTAGGCCAGGCTGGAGTGCAATGGCGTGATCTTGGCTTCCTGCAACCTCCGCCTCCTGGGTTCAAGTGATTCTCCTGCCTCAGCCTTCCGAGTAGCTGGGATTACAGGTGTGCACCACCAGGCCTGGCTAATTTTTTTTTTTTTTTTTTTTTTTTGAGACGGAGTTTCGCTCTTGTTACCCAGGCTGGAGTGCAATGGCACGATCTCGGCTCACCGCAATCTCCGCCTCCTGGGTTCAGGCAATTCTCCTGCCTCAGCCTCCCGAGCAGCTGGGATTACAGGCACGCGCCACCATGCCCAGCTAATTTTTTTTTTTTGTAATTTTAGTAGAGACGGGGTTTCACCATGTTGACCAAGATGGTCTCGATCTGTTGACCTCGTGATCCACCCGCCTCGGCCTCCCAAAGTGCTGGGATTACAGGCTTGAGCCACCGCGCCCGGCCTGCCTGGCTAATTTTTGTATTTTTATTAGAAATGTGGTTTCACCATGTTGGCCAGGCTGATCTCGAACTCCTCACCTCAGGTGATCTAACCGCCTTGGCCTTGAAAAGTGCTGGGATTATAGGTGTGAGCCACTGCAGCTGGCCTTTCAAAGTTTCATTTGTGCATGCATATCTTTCAGCTCAGCAATTCCATTTCTAGGAATTTATCCAGGCAATCATTTGAAATGTCTGTATAAGTGTATCCACAAGGATGGTTGTAAATTGGATTGCTTAGAACAGTGCTAGGCCGGGCACGGTGGTTCACTTCTATAATCCCAGCACTTTGGGAGGCCGAGGTGGGTGGATCACGCGGTCAAGAGATTGAGACCATCCTGGTTAACATGGTGAAACCCTGCTTCTACCAAAAATACAAAAATTAGCTGGGCATGATGGCAGGTGCCTGTAGTCCCAGCTACTCGGGAGGCTGCGGCAGGAGAATTGCTTGAACCCAGGAGGCAGAGGTTGCGGTGAGCCGAGATCATGCCATTGCACTCCAGCCTGGGTAACGAGCGAAACTCCGTCTCAAAAAAAAGAACAGTGCTGCCCTACAGAACTTTCTGCAATGATAGAAATGCTCTCTACCTGTGTTGCCCAATAGGTACGTAGTCACTAATCACAAGTGGCCACTGAGTATGTGCAATGTGGCCAGTATGACTCAGGAACCAAACTTCTAATTTTAAGTAGCCAACATGGCTAGTGCTACAATATTGCACAGCAGACAACTATACCATTGGATACAGAAAATTACATTAAACATTTAGTTAGTTTCTAATTTCCTGCATTACCCAATGGTCTAGTTCTATGCTGGGCAATCTTGTAGCAACTAATATGAAATAGAATAGAAAGCAGCTTCAAAACAATGATGTAGCATGGTATGCTATCAATAACATTTCGGTTACATGAAAAAAAGATTTCAAACAGCAGGCATGGTATGATATTTTTATAAATAAAAATCTAAGCACTCTAGAATCATTAATTGTTAGCCGTGGGCAGTAACCTGTCTTCTCTTGTTTTTTGAAACAGAGTCTCACTGTGCACTCAGAGTGCCCAGCCTGGAGTGCAATGGCACGATCTTGGCTCACCGCAACCTCCGCCTCCTGGGTTCAGGCAATTCTCCTGCCTCAGCCTCCTGAGTAGCTGGGATTACAGGCGCACACCACCATGCCCAGCTAATTTTTTGTATTTTTAGTAGAGAGGGGTTTCACCATGTTGACCAGAATGGTCTCGATCTCTCAACCTCGTGATCCACCCGTCTCGGCCTCCCAAAGTGCTGGGATTACAGGCTTGAGCCACCGCGCCCGGCCTTTTTTTCTTTTTTTTTTTTTTTTATTTAAGATGCATTCTCTGTCACCCAGGCTGGAGTACAGTGGCACGATCTTGGCTCACTGCAACCTCTGCCTCCTGGGTTCAAGCAGTTCTCCTGCCTCAGCCCTCTGAGTAGCTGGGACTACAGGGGCACACCACCACGCCCAGCTAGTTTTTTATAGTTTTGGTAGAGTCGGGGTTTTACCATATTGGCCAGGCTTGTCTCAAACTCCTGACCTCAAGTGATATGTCTGTCTCAGCCTCCCAAAATGCTGCGATTACAGTGAATCTTTGTATTTCCACCTTTTGAGGGGGGTGGGGGACTAATAATCTACTGTGAAATCTCCCAATTCCATAAAAGTTACCTGAGAACATCTGCAAATATAATGAAAGCACTGGTTAGAATAATTATGGAATTTAATTTGCCAGAATGTATGATACTTCACTCTACTAGACAATGAAGCAGATACTCTGTTAGCAAGAGATGACAGGTAAGAGAATTTGGAAATTCCCTCTTACTCGGTTTCTGTTGTTGATATGTCTGCATAATTCCTCAAGATCTTTGTTGCTGAACAAATTTCCCTTAATTTCCATTTTGTTTTCTTTTGAAATGGCTGCCATTAACAAGCGGTGTACTACAATATCTGAATATCTTCTTATTGGAGAAGTAAAATGGGTGTATTTATCTAATGCAAGACCTTCAACAAAAAAGCAAAATGTCAAAATAAACAAGAAATCTTTCAAAACAACTAGCTCAAAGTTGCAGCCCCACATAGGAACCCAGTAGGATTCACCGTAATGATGGAACTCCTCCTCCTTGCAGGCTCCGGTGGAGAAATACAGGGCATTGGACATGGCCTGCGTGGCCATGGAGCGCAGCAGCCTGTTCACAACGGGATCGTTGGGGTCGTTCGCATTATCCAGAGAATCAGCCAGTGTTTTATTGGACCTGAGAAAGAACAGAAAAACTGTTAATCCCAGACACAGTAATTTATAAGACAAAACTGAGGGGAACCCTTCGCTCATCCATCTGAATACCTTCATCTGCCAGTAAATTTATGTTGGACACATTTCAGAAGCAACTCTTCAACTACGGAAATCTAGTTTGCTTTGCGGTTTAAACAAAGCAAGAGTGTCAGCATTTAAATAAATTTCTTAAATAGTGATGAATAATGTACTGATTTTAATACTAGGTTAAGTTAGTGCTTGGCTGTAATACGTGATCAAATATCCGTTGAATTGAATTCTTTATATCCTTAACCTTAAACATTCTATGTAGTTAAAATAATGGGCTTGGTGTACAAGCAAAAGAAACTTAAATTAGTTTTTCTTTTTTAAAGATGTAGGAAGCATTCTATTTATTTATTCTCAAAATAATTTTTTATAGAGACAGGGTATCACTTTGTTGCTAGTCTCAAACTACTGGCCTTCAGTGATGCTCCTGCTTTGGCCTCTCAAAGTGCTGGGGTTACAGGATGGGAGCCACTGCATCCAGCTTCAAAATAATAATTTTAAAACACCAGGAAATATAGAAGTATTTAAAAATAAAACTAATGATACAACATATAATTCAGTCCTATATTGTAGTTGGCTAAGGAAAAGGGGGAAAGAAGAAATAGAGCATGTTGATGAATATAGAGGCACGGTGTTAAGTCGTTGCTAGGTGAGCTTTCAAGTATAACAGACTTGGATTCAAATCTTGACTCTGCCCTGCCTGATTGTTAAATTATAGGCAAACTACTTTATCTCGTCAGACTTAACTGACTCATCTGTGAATACGAATGATGCTGCCATCACCTCAGCATTAAGAATTAACCAAGAGGGTGTCTCAAAGCCTTTGGCCCATGTGCTGGGCATGCAGACAGCTCACCCAGTGACTACCAAACAAACAAACATACTAGCACCTGAAGGCAGAAGCAAAAAACAACAACAACAACAAACCCTCAAAAAAAAAAAAAAGAATTGGAGTCTCACCATGTTGCCCAGGCTAAAAAAGCAGTAAATTTCGGTAAACAAATAAAAGATATGTTAATTAGTGCCTGTTACTTGACAATACAATACTTTAAAAACTGTACACAAAGACAAACCGAAGCCAGAGTGCAGTGGCATGATCTTGGCTCACTTCAGCCTCCGCCTCCCAGGTTCAACCAATTCTCATGCCTCAGCCTCTGAGCAGTTGGGATTACAGGAGTCTGCCACCAAGCCTGGCTCATTTTTGTATTTTTTGTAGAGATGGAGTTTCACCATGTTGGCAAGGCTGGTCTTGAACTCCTGACCTCAAGTGATGTTCCTGCCCCAGCCTCCTAAATTGCTAGGATTATAGGCGGGAGCCACTGCACCCCACCTATACTTAGTTTTTAATGAAAGAAGTATTTTATCCTAGAGATGGTGGGTAAAAATGACTCAATCAATGGAGGTTGGTATACATTCACTGTTGGTATGGTATCTTATGATACTGTCACAAAGATGCTGCATTGAAAAAGTACTGAAATAAATAGGATTATTTCTTGGTAACCTAAGGGGTAGATGAAATTAAATCAAGGGGTAACTAACAGGTTCCCTACTGCTCTATTACAAATTGTAGTAGGTTGGCCGGGTGTGGTGGCTCACGCCTATAATCCCAGCACTTTGGGAGGCTGAGGCAGGCATATCATGAAGTCAGGAGTTTGAGACCAGCTTGACCATGGTGAAATCATGCTCTGCTAAAAATACAAAAATTAGCCAGCATGGTGGTGCATACCTGTAATATCAGCTACCCAGGAGGCTGAGGCAGGAGAGTCACTTGAACCCGGAGGCGGAGGCTGCAGTGAGCCAAGATCGCACCACTGCACTGCAGCCTGGGCAACAGAGGAAAACTGTCTCAAAAAAAGTTGTATTGGGTCAAAATTAAGCCTAAACATCTAGTGTGGTGGCTCGTTCCTGTAATCTCAGTAGTTTGGGAGGCCGAGGCAGGTGGATCACTTGAGGTCAGGAGTTCAAGACCAGCCTGGCTAGTATGGTCAAACCCTGTCTGTACAAAAATACAATATACTGAGCTGAGGTTGGTGGCTCATGCGTGTAATCCCAGTACTGTGGGAGGCTGAGGCGGGTGGATCATTTGAGCCCAGGAGTTCTAGACCATCCTAGGCAACATAATGCAACCTGTCTCTTAAAAAAAACACAACAAAACAATATATTAGCTGGCTGTGATGGCGCGTGCCTGTAGTTCCAGCTACTTGGGAGGCTGAGGCAGGAGAATCGCTTGAACCTGGGAGGTGGAGGTTGCAGTGAGCCAGGATTTCACCACTGCACTCCAGCCTGGGTGACAAAGCGAGACTCACAAAAAAAAAAAAACAAAAACAAAAACCAACCAACACAGGACAAAAAAACCCCCACAAAACCCAGAAAACCAAGAAATAAAATTATGCCTAAATAAAGTTGTTTAAAGTCTCTATACATATCAATGAAGAGAGAAAAACGTCTCTACAAAAATGAAGAGAGCCAAGAAGGTTTCTCTTTTAGGTCAACGATCTAAAAGATAAATATACAACATGCCCCTCCATTCCTCTGCCCCCTCAAAAGAGGAATACCGTGTATCTATGAAGAAGCCTTTGGCTTTTGCACATTCCCGGAGTTCTGAGAAGAACTCCTGGTGTGGAGGAGGGTGCTGGCGCAGCAAGGCCTGATGAGGGAAGCTCTCCCAGATCTTCTTGGCCACCCAGTGGTTGGCCAGGATCATGCATTCGGCCACTGTCTCATGGACTTCCAGGGGCTGCTTGGGGATGAGGTCGTGAATATTCTTTTTCTCATCTAGCTGTACGCGAACCTCCACCCCTTCCAGTTCCAGGGCACCACATCCGTCTCGCTTAGCTCTGACATGGCGAGCTATGTCAGTCAGCTTTCCAATTGCCCACACTAACTCCTCCAGCTTGGCTTGTCTGCTCTTCTCATCCAAGTCTCTGAATTCTGGAATATCATCAATAATGCTCAAGTTTCCATCCAGTAGTTCCTGGGCTGCTTCATAGAACAGTTTGTATGCTGATCGAATAATGGTTCTGCCATACCACACTTTCTTAATTTCATAAGAGGTTTTGTCCAATTCCCACATGATGCTTACAGCATACCTGTAAAACCAGTAATAATGACAACATCACTATTCAATTCCTTTTTTTTTTTTTTTTTTGAGACAGTCTTGCTCTGTCACCCAAGCTGGAGTGCAGTGGTGTGATCTTGGCTCACTGCAACCTCTGCCTCCTGGGTTCAACTGATTCTCCTGCCTCAGCCTCCTGAGTAGCTGTGACTCTAGGCGTGTGCCACCATGCCCGGCTAATTTTTATATTTTTAGTAGAGATGGGGTTTCACAGTGTTAGCCAGGATGGTCTCAATCTCCAGACCTTGTGATCTGCCTGCCTCGGCCTCCCAAAGTGCTGGGATTACAGGTGTGAGCCACCACACCAGCCCTGGTTGTTTTTTGTTGTTTTTTTTTTTTTTTTTTTTTTTGAGAGTCTTGCTCTGTCACCCAGGCTGGAGTACAATGGCATGATCACGGCTCACTGCAGTTCCAATCTCCTGGGCTTGAGCAATTAATTCTCCTGCCCAAAGTGGTGGGATTGTAGGTGTAAGCCACCATGCCTCACTTAATTCTTCTATTTTTGAAGCAAGTAGAATTTAACCTAACTGTAACTTAAAAGAAATTACAATGCTACAAGCTTCTGGTTTGATATGTCATTCCAACCACCCTACCACTAAATCAAAAAATATTTTAAATGAAAACAACAAAGTTAGAACTGGGTTCTGTTGAGCTCTGAACAAATTTCAAATGAGTTTATATGTGGCATTACAAACCCTGCCTTATGTCCTCCATTTTGATTAGAAAAGCAAGACACTGATACAGTCCAGTCTATTTAGCTCCTCTGTAAATCAGAGCAAGTCTTGCAGATCCTACAGGATGACACTGAACTGTGACATCAATCTCGATGATGGTTAAATTAGCAAAAAATTTATTTAGTAAAAACCCTCTTTGCCACCAAATCATTTTCTTTAAAAACGTAAATATTTGCAACTCATAAAAAACAGGACTAATTTTCCTAATATATAAAGAGCTTTTACAAATTAATTAATAATTCATCTTAAACCCAAAAGAAAAATGGGCAAAGAATATGTAGTTCACAGAAAGGGATACATAAGTGACTGTTAAACATGCTAAAAAATGGTTATCTTTAAGCCAGGCGTGGTGGCTCAGGCCTGTAATCCCAGCACTTTGGGAGGCTGAGGCAGGTGGATCATGAGGTCAGGAGTTCAAGACCAGCCTGGCCAACATGGTGAAACCCTGTCTCTACTAAAATACAAAAATTAGCTGGGGTATGGTGGCGCATGCCTGTAATCTCAGCTACTCTGGAGGCTGAGGCTGAGTTCAAACTCCTGCTTGAGTGAACCAGGACCCAGGAGGCAAAGGTTGCAGTGAGCAGAGATCACACCACTGCACTCTAGCCTGGGCTACAGTGAGACTGTCTCAAAAAAAAAAAAGGGCGGGTACGGTGGCTCAAGCCTGTAATCTCAGCACTTTGGGAGGCATAGGCAGGTGGATCACGAGGTCAAGATATGGAGACCATCCTGGTCAACATGGTGAAACCCCATCTCTACTAAAAATACAAAAAATTAGCTGGGCATGGTGGCGCATGCCTGTAATCCCAGCTACTCGGGAGGCTGAGGCAGGAGAATTGCCTGAACCCAGGAGGCAGAGGTTGCAATGAGCCAAGATCGCGCCATTGCACTCCAGCCTGGGTAACAAGAGTGAAACTCCGTCTCAAAAAAAAAAAAAAAAAAAAATCTTAGCTTTATTCCTTTTATGGTAATGTAAATTAAAACCACTCTAAGATACCATTTTTAATGTATCAAATTGGAAAGAAAAAAATACAACATATTGTGTTGGCAAAGCTGTGGGAAAATAAGCACTCTCATACATTAGCGGCAGGAATATAATTGATGTAACCTTTAAGGAGGGCAATTTGATAATATTGATTCAAACACAAATGCACAAACTCTTGACACAGAAATCCCATAATCACACATGGGAATTTCTCTTTCACATATACTGTACTTTAAAAAGTGTGAAATGGGCTGGGCGTGGTGGCTTACATCTGTAATCCCAGCACTTTGGGAGGCCAAGGCAGGAGGATCACTGGAG